ATTAGTTAAACTCCATGTGTGTGTTACGAATTTAGCCTATAGCCGATCTTTCCTCTACATCGGAAAGGAAAATCTGTTTTTTCTTCCCTACATCGAAAAATATATGGAAGGACAAACGCATGTTACATCAACAATATAATAAAAGATATCAGAAATATAAACATATTTATTTGTAAGGTGAACCGATGAACCACATGAAGATTGCGAGCAATCAAATAAGATAAGTGATTAGAAACATATTTACTGAAACCTTTTCAATTCTGAAATTGCAAATCATGATTATGAACAACTATACAATTTAAAAGTAGCAGATAGTGGGGAAGTATAAAAACTATATGTATATATTTTCACATGTAGATAATCGGGAAAAAATATCAGATAGTGTTTGAATCGTGTAGTATGTTGTGTTAATATATGCATACGAAATCTATTTAACGTAGTCTCAACGTTTATTTACAAATTCATCTTTTCTGAATGCTAGCAGAATTTATTGGTGACCAATAGAATTTCCTATTACCGACTGTTACAAAAAAACATGAAAGAACCTGGTAAAGAAGCTAGAAGTCAACACCATGAATTGTTGAGGCCTTAGAAAACTTGGAACACGAGACCTTCAGGTCAATCTAGAGCCTACCATGGTCAATTTCGGCATCAACACATTAGCAACAGAAAAGATCTTGTTGATTAATATAGACATGAATAAATCTTGAGAAAGGAGATGGGGATGAGGAAAGACAGACCTAGGATGTGCAAGGAAGCAACAACACAACCGGCATGAGTGAAACGTAAGTGAGGTTGGACCAAGGACGAGGTAGACAACATAACATCAAGTTCTATTTAAGTAGAAAAGATGAAATAAATATTAATTCATGATTCAAAAACGGAAAAAGGAAAATACTTGATAATGGGCCACACCAAACCAACCCTTTTAAAAAGTTCTACTTGGGATGTGGCGTATTTCCTATGAAATCACTGTTGGGGAACGTAGTAGAAATTTAAAATTTTCTACGCATCACCAAGATCAATCTATGGAGTCATCTAGCAACGAGGGGAAGAGGAGTGCATCTACATACCCTTGTAGATCGCGAGCGGAAGCGTTCAAGAGAACAGGGATGATGGAGTCGTACTCGTCGTGATCCAAATCACCGATGATCCTAGCGCCGAACGGACGGCACCTCCGCGTTCAACACACGTACGGAGCGAGGACGTCTCCCGCGCCTTGATCCAGCAAGGAGGAGGGAGAGGTTGAGGAAGAGGGCTCCAACAGCAGCACGACGGCGTGGTGATGGTGGAGCAACAGTACTCCGGCAGGGCTTCGCCAAGCTCTTGCGGAGGAGGAAAGGTGTTGGGGAGGGGAGGGGCTGCGCCATAGATGTGGTGTGCAGCCCTCCCCTTGCCCCTCTATATATAGGGGAAGGAGGAAGGGGGCCGGCCCCTCTAGATGAGATCTAGAGGGGGGCGTCCAAGGGGAGGGGGCTTGCCCCCCAAGCAAGGGGGGCGCCCCCCTTAGGGTTTCCCCCCCAACCCTAGGCGCATGGGCCCATGGGGGGGTGCGCCCAGCCCATGTAGGGCTGGTTCCCTTTCCTCTACAGGCCATTAGACCCTCCGAGAGAGGTGGCCCCTCCCGGTGGACCCCCGGAACCCCTCCGATGGCCCCGGTACAATACCGATATGCCCCCGAACCTTTCCGGTGACCGTATGACAACTTCCTACATATAAATCTTCACCTCCGGACCATTTCGGAACTCCTCGTGACGTCCGGGATCTCATCCGGGACTCCGAACAACATTCCGTAATAACATACAAGTCTTCCTAATAACCCTAGCGTCATCGAACCTTAAGTGTGTAGACCCTACTGGTTCGGGAACCATGCAGACATGACCGAGACAGCTCTCCGGCCAATAACCAACAGCGGGATCTGGATACCCATGTTGACTCCCACATGTTCCACGATGATCTCATCGGATGAACCACGATGTCGAGGATTCAAGCAATCCCGTATACAATTCCCTTTGTCAATCGGTACGTTATTTGCCCGAGATTTGATCGTCGATATCCCAATACCTTGTTCAATCTCGTTACCGGCAAGTCACTTTACTCGTTCCATAATGCATGATCCCGTGACCAACTACTCGTTCCATAATGATGATGCATTACCGAGTGGGCCCATAGATACCTCTCCGTCATACGGAGTGACAAATCCCAGTCTCGATTCATGGCAACCCAACAGATACTTTTGGAGATACCTGTAGTGTACCTTTATAGCCACCCAGTTACGTTGTGACGTTTGGTACACCCAAAGCATTCCTACGGTATCCGGGAGTTGCACAATCTCATGGTCTAAGGAAATGATACTTGACACTTAGAAAAACTCTAGCAGACGAACTACACGATCTTGTGCTATGCTTAGAATTGGGTCTTGTCCATCACATCATTCTCCTAATGATGTGATCCCGTTATCAATGACATCCAATGTCCATGGTCAGGAAATCGTAACCATCTATTGATTAACGAGCTAGTCAACTAGAGGCTCACTAGGGACATGTTGTGGTCTATGTATTCACACATGTATTACGATTTTCGGATAACACAATTATAGCATGAACAATAGACAATTATCATGAACAAGGAAATATAATAATAACCATTTTATTATTGCCTCTAGGGCATATTTCCAACAATCACTAATTAAGGAGTACCTTTTGCAAAAGTCACTCCCACCCTCCACAGGTTGCCACAAATATTGCACTGCATGTGCGCCCCTTGTCGCAACCCAGAAGTTTTTCCTTTTTTTGTAAATTCATTTGTTCAAAATGTTTTACCTCTCAAAACGTGTGTCCCAATCTGGAACCGTTTGCGCCATTGGATTCCCCGTGTCGAGATCTTCAAAACTCGATCATATGTTTATAGGTCTCGATAAACTTTTTTGTCACGAAAAAACCGAACAAAAAACCCGAACATAGAGCATGTTTTGTCCCTTTCCGAGAGGTCGTGCCTCTCGCGGAAGCAAATACTGCCTCCAAGATAAGTAAACATGTGCCTCTCGTGGAAGGGAAGAAAACACATTTTTTCCCTTTCTCTCTCACGGAAGCAAATCCGTGGCTATGCGAGAAGTAAGTCCATTCCTTTCATGGTAGGAAAAAAATGTGTTTTCTCCTTTCTCGAGAGGCACGGCCGTGCCTCTGGCGGAAGGAAATCCGAGACTCAATGAGAAGTAAATCTATGCCTCTTGCAGAAAGAAAAAGAAAAAGAAAACATGTTCTTTCCTTTTGCAATAAGCACGACCGTGCCTCTCATGTAAGAAAATATGTGCCTTCACAAGAAGTAAAACTCTGTCTCTCAAAGAAGGAAAACAAGGAAGAGAATGTGTTTTATTCCTTTTCTGAGAGGCACGGCTATGCCTCTCACGGAAGCAAATTCGTACCTCCACGAGAAATAAATATGTGCCTCTCGTGGAAGGAAAAAAACACATTTTCCCTTTTGCGAGAGTCACGGCCGTGCAACTCACGTAAGCAAATTCGTGCCTCCATGATGAGTAAATATGCGCCTCTTGTGGAAGAAGAAAAAACCGTGTTTTTTTGCGTCAATTGTTTTTCACCTTTTTGTCTAAAACCTAAGAAAAACCAAGGGAAACTGGAAAACCCCCGAAAAAATCATCCAAAAGCTGAAAACATGTACATAAAAATTAAAAATAAATAAAATCTTAAAGGAACGCCCAGAATGCGACACGTGGCGACGGCTGAGAGTGTGCCAAGTGGCGGGCTCCCATTCCATCCTAAGTGATTGTTGCGGGGGCTGCCGAAGGAGTACTCCTTGATTAGTTGCTCCTATTTCTATTTGAAGCACACACTGTGAAATTGTGGAGGAAACACACATGCGAGGGGAGCAAGAGAGGTAAATGGAGCCGCTCTGCATGTAGCAAAACTACTACAAGACCGGGTTTTGTGAACCTTCTAGAAGGTTCCCCAAACTGGGTGATTTCTTCTCAGTTTTGCATTAGGAGTTTCAACTCCTCAAAAATGCCATCACTCTATTAGACGCATGCTAAAAAATGCCATCACACACCATTACTGTCAGCTCAAAACCCATTTATCAGTTATATGGCCAAAATACCCATGGACCCACATGCCAACTCTCCCTCTATCTCACTACGGTAAAGTGTGGGTCTCACTCGATCTCCAATAACATTCTTATTTTCCTCTAAATCTCTTTGCTTGCTTACTCCTGATAGGTGGGTCCCACATTTATTATTGTGAGATTGAGAGAGCCGATAGATGGGTCTAGGGGTATTTTGACCATATAATATGGTCAACAGGTTTGACCTGATAGTAAGAGTGTCTAATGTTATTTTTAAGCAAATATCTAACAGAACGATGGCTTTTTTGAGCAAGTATCTAACTTACCGATGACATTTTTGAGCAGGTGTAACTTCTAATTGCAAAACCGAGTAGTGAGAGACAACTAGTGGCATAAATGGTAAAAACCAATGTTATTCATGTTGTTCACAATTTCGAAAAATGTTCATGTTTTCTCACAATTTAAAAGAAAATTGCATTTCAATTAATGCTTGAAATTTCTAGAAATGTTCACACATTTTTTTACTCCTTCGTCCAATACTGATTGTGCCTGATATGGATGTATCTAGACGTATTTCAGTGATAGATACATCATCTGAGCATATGAGTGATATTATACATTGTGATGTTTTCACAAATTTTATAAATTAAATGTTGATTTTGAATCGGGGAGCACATGCTCCCATATGCCATATACGAAATAATCAGTGACAAAGTCCTAGTTTTCTTGTAAAATAAATTTGGAAACTACGTTTAGCTGTTGGATCCAGTCCGCTTTCATCGTCATTTCCAGTGTTCACGGTGGCGCCCCCGACGGCAACCCCGCATTCTTTATCCCAACAGAAATGGCTTCGGTTCCCAACTGCAACTCCAGATCAACTGCCTGGCCGCCCTTCACGCCCTCTTCTCGCGCGACAACGTACGATGGCAGCGACGCGGCGGGTGCTGGTGCTCTGCCGCCTCTCGCCGGCCTCCCTCGCCGGTCTCGCCGCCCGCTTCAGCCTCCTCGACCGCCACGCCTCGTCGCTCTCGATGGAAGCCTTCCTCGCCGCCGCGGCTGCCGACGACGACCCACCGCGCCTGGCCCTCGTCCCGGACGGGGGCGTCCGCGTCGACGCGGCTTTCCTGGACGCCGTCCCGTCGCTGCGCTGCGTCGTCACGGTCAGTGCAGGCCTCAACCACATCGACCTCCCCGAGTGCGCGCGCCGCGGCGTCGCCGTGGCCAACGCGGCCGGGGTCTACTCCTCCGACGTCGCCGACCACGCCGTCGCCCTGGTCATCGACGTCCTCCGGCGCGTATCGGCGGCCGACAGGTACGTGCGGCGGGGGCTCTGGCCGGAGCGCGGCGACTTCCTGCCCCTCGGGTCTACGCTCCGCGGGAAGCGCGTGGGCATCGTCGGCCTCGGCAGCATCGGATCGGCAGTCGCGAGGAGGCTGGAGGCGTTCGGCTGCGTCGTCTCCTACCACTCCCGCGGCCGGAAACACGACGTCTCGTACTGCTACCACCCCGCGGTGCGCGACCTTGCCGCGTGCTCCGACGTGCTCGTCGTCGCGTGCGCTCTGACCGCCGAGACCCGGCACGTCGTGGACAGGCGCGTGCTGGACGCGCTGGGGAGCGGCGGCGTGGTGGTGAACGTGGCGCGCGGCCCGAACGTGGACGAGGGGGAGCTGGTGAGGGCGCTCGCGGAGGGCAGGCTCGCCGGCGCCGGGCTGGACGTGTTCGAGGACGAGCCAGACGTGCCGGCTGAGCTGATGGCCATGGACAACGTCGTGCTGACGCCTCACTGGGCCGCGTTCACCCCGGAGTCCATAGCCGACCTCGACCACCTCGTCGCCGGCAACCTGGAGGCCTTCTTCGCCGGCGCCCCGCTGCTTACGCCCGTCGTCGTCTCCGACTGAGCACAAAGAATGTCGATCGTCACTGACCGCGAGCTCTTCATCACAAAGAATAAAACTGGCATTGATTAGTCCACCACCAACCCATGTCTGCTGCACAAATCTAAAAGCAAACCAACCGTGAATGTTTCACCAGAACCAATAAATAGAGGTTTCTTTTTTTTAACATTAGTACAGACATTCATATACACGTGCATACACTTATCCCTATGAACGCACACACACCCTACTTCTATGAGCATTTTCGAAAGACCAAACTGACATTGATAAATAGAGGTTTCTACTCCATCGCAAAAAAAATAGAGGTTTCTACTAGTACTGATACTCCGATAGCGATACCATTCCCTTCTCACGACGCCGCCCCCTGGCGAGAGGCCGCTGGTGCTTCTGGGGCAGCCGCTCTTCCTAGAGATCGCCGCGGCGCTGGTCGGGCGCTTCCGGTTCGTCTTGGTCGTCGACGCCGATGCCTCGAGCTCTAGCGCGAACCAGACCTCCTAGTTGGGAGTGTTCAACACGTATGGGAGCCGCCGCTGCTCCGACGTCAGTAACTCATGGCGTCTGCGCATCTCCTCGGTGTGCACCCGCACCGACCGGGGCATCGCCGGCACTGAAATACAGTGCGTGTCCAGATGCCAATAATGGGGCATGTAGACATCTGGATAGGCCAGCGGCTACGGGTATTCCCAGTGCCACTGCGTCTGGTGCACCGCGATGTACATCGCGCTGCCTTTTTCATGATGGCTCGCCGCGCGAGGAGTGGGTGGTGACAGTGACGACGCGCGGGACGAGGTGGCGATAGGTCAGAACTTTCGCTTGCCCTTGTTGAAGAACCCCATGGCTAGTTAGGTTTTGCCTGTCATGGATGAGGGGGGCAAGCTTGGTTAGATATGGACGGGGGAGGGAAGTGGATGACGTCGACACCCCGCACACGAGCGGTGGTTGGACGGCCGACAGATGGGACCGAGGTGAACACTGAGCGGACGTGCGCCGCGTCCGTTTCATGTACGTGTGGACGCAAATAAGATAAAAATTTGGGTCTAAAATACGTTTAGGCGGACACCGAGACATCTCGATTTCAGTTTGGGTCCCCGGGTTGGGCCGGCACTTGTCCGTATCGGTTGGAGTTGTTCTTAGGAATAGCCACATATGGTCCAGCAACCGATGTCTGCTGGTGGCTTTGTCTCTGTCCCTCCAAAGCAGCAGGTAGTCTGATAGGCGATAGCGATACCATTCCTACCTCCACGGACCGATGGAAAACACGACGCCGCCCGCCGACGAGAGGCCGCTGGTGCTCCTGGGGCAGCCGCTCTTCCCGGAGTTCGCCGCGGCGCTGGCCGGGCGCTTCCGGTTCGTTCTGGTCGCGGACGCCGACGCCGCGACCGTGGCGGAGGGGAGGGCGCTGCTCATCGGGCTCAATCCGGTCACGGACGACCACCTGGCCGCGCTCCCGGCGCTCCGGCTCGTGGCGGGCATCTCCGTGGGCGTCAACCACGTCAACCTCGCCGCCTGCCGGCGCCGCGGGATCGCCGTCACAAACGCTGGCGCTGCTTTCGCGGTCGACACGGCCGACTACGGCGTCGGGCTCGTCGTCGCCGTGCTCCGCCGGTTGGCCGCCGCCGAGGCCCACGTCCGGGCCGGCAGGTGGGCGGCCGACGGCGACTATCCTCTCACCACCAAGGTAGATACAGTAGTTAGTTGTCTAGTTCTTGGCCACCACTGCTCTGGAGTCTGGACGACTCTGTGTTTTAGTAGCAGTAGTGCTCTGTTCTTCCCCTTCGCTTGGCTCACTAGTCACTACCTACCGAACCCACCGCCGATTGAGGAGATGCGGCCGCCGGCGCGAGCCCAAGCCGATGCATCCAAGCCGGTCGTGCTCCTGGCCGACCCCATCATCCCGGAGTTTGAGCTGGAGCTCTCAGCTCGGTACAGTCTCCTTCCTCTCGCTGATGTTGACGCGGACACGGCCGCCTCGGCGCGGGCGCTCCTTACAGTCGAGCTCCCTGCGGTGACCGCCGAGCTCATGGGCGCGCTCCCAAAGCTGGAGCTCGTACTCGCCTCGTCCGTCGGCGTTGACACGTCGATCTTGCCGCCTGCCGCCGCCGCGGGATTGCCGTCACCAACGCTGGGGGCGCGTTCTCTGACGACGCGGCCGACTACGCCGTCGGGCTTCTCATAGCCGCTCTCCGCCGCGTCGCCGCTGCAGACGCGTACTTCCGACGCGGCAGCTGGCCGGCCGGCGGGGAGTATCCCCTCGTCTCCAAGGTTAATTTAACCGCGGATCCCCATCAATCGCGGTAGTTAGAATTAGTTTTTCTTGGCCATCCAAATGATTCCAAAGAACGCGCACAAGAGGAGAATTTTGATCACCGGAGTCTGATGGACTCGTTGGCAGGTGAGCGGCAAGCGGGTGGGGATCCTGGGGCTGGGCAACATCGGCTCCCGCATCGCGCGGCGGCTCGCCGCCTTCGGCTGCGCCGTCTCCTACAACTCGAGGTCGCCCAAGCCGTCGGCGCGGTACGAGTTCGTCCCCACCGTGCGCGAGCTCGCCGCCGGCAGCGACGTGCTGGTTCTGTCCTGCGCCCTGACGGAGGAGACGAAGCACGTGGTGAACCGGGAGGTGATGGAGGCGCTGGGGAAGGACGGCGTGCTGGTCAACGTCGGCCGCGGCGGCCTCGTGGACGAGCCGGAGCTGGTCAGGTGCCTGCAGGAGGGCGTCATCGGCGGCGCCGGCCTGGACGTGTTCGAGAGCGAGCCGAACGTGCCGCCGGAGCTCTTCTCCATGGACAACGTCGTGCTGTCGGCGCACAGGGCCGTGGCCACGCCGGAGTCCATCCGCGGCACGATCGAGCTTGTCGCCGGCAACCTCGACGCCTTCTTCGCAGGAAAGCCACTGCTCAGCCCCGTGCAGCTCTGAAACAAGAACACCATCTGTCTCCGGTTCGATGTCCTCTGAATAAATTTGCAGAATTCGGTCATGTATATGTACTCCCTCCGTTCTCAATTACTTGTCTTGGATTTGTCTAGATACGGATGTATCTAGACTCATTTTAGTGTTAGATACCTTTGTATCTAGATAAATCTAAGACAAGTAATTTAAAATGGAGGGAGTAGATGAGTGTAATCCAGTCTCTGAGTGAATAAAGTCTGTGAGCAATCGGTCAGCAATTCAGGTTCGTTAAGAGCAAGTGTTACTATTACATGACCATATATCATATCAATACGAGGAACATATCATATGAAACCAACATTTGGTGGAAACGGGCAAAGACCACGCGAAACTGATGTTTTAAATTTTTGAAAAAAAATCTAAAAATATGAAATGTTAAGAGAGTGATGTTCTACTGAATTGGAAAATTTGAAGTGCAAACACATTAGTAGATATGAGCTATGAAAAAACAAAATCAATATTGAATAGTGCTGAACAGTAATGTCACTATTCATAGCAGAATTCGTCTTTTCCATAGCTCGCATCCTATAATGTGTTCTAACTTAAAATTTCACATGGCAATAGAACATCATCCTTTTAACATCGCACATTTTTTTCAGATATTTTTGAAACTTCTAAACATGGTTTTCACGAAGTTTTCTTTGAATGTTGGTTTCTGCAGGACATTCTCCCATCAATACGAGGCCACAAGGGCCCGTTAAATTGACGCAATGTGCTTCAAATATTTTTTATTTGTGTGTCTTTAATTTATTGTTCCTGGGATTTCTTGTGTGTGGATTATGGACGAGGCTCCTCTGACGTACTGCAGGGCGCAGTTGGGCCACTGACAGGTGGGCCCGAAAGCAAGTTGGCCCACCTGTCAGTGACCCAACTGCGCCCTGCAGTACGTCAGGGGAGCCGAGTCCGTGGATTATTGAGAACCTTGCTAAAGTTTCTACTCTACATGATCCTAAATCCACTTTAATTATTGTGACAAATACATTCAAACAGTTTGTTTTTACTCATCCATGTTTAATTCCTGCAATTGACACAATTTGTAGACACAATGTGTTGAGGTGATTGTCTATTCAACATTTTCCTTGTGTGGAGTGGCGGAGCTTGACAAAGCTGGCTGGGGGTGGGGGGCACGGCCCCCAGAGTTGCACTAAGCTTCGCCACTGCTTGTGTGCAAGAGACTCTCATTGCGTTCTAAAGAAAAACATTTTCCTGTTGTAGCAGGCGATAGCCCCGGCCGCTCACCTGGGCTGGCCCATTTAGCATGTTGTTCTCTCCTCTTCTGTATATGCGGGATTACAGAGAGCTCTAATTTGCCCGGAATGTATCCGGTGCATCCACACTTATAATGTTGCCGGTGTACCGGATGTCGTAGGACATTTTTAAAAAACCCTGAAAACAAATCTAGCACATTGACACAACATCAATGTATTCATATCAAAATTCAAAATATTTTTTTAGATACAAAAATGAAAATTTTAACATCAATGTGATAATGCGCCAAATCAAGAAACAAACTTATGTTATGTACTATTCAATGTTGAATTTGCCATTTTTATTTTTTGGGTTGGTCTCAATTTTTGATTGCAATTCTGTGACAACCTACAATGTGTTGTGTGAATGTGCTGATTTTTTTCAGAAAAATTTAAAATGTGTAACGTGAGTTCCGTGCAACGGTAGCATCACAAGCACCGGTGCACCAGATATTCTCCCATTATTTGCCGCACGCAGGCGGCAATAGTGGAGGCTTTGCTAAAGCCCGGAGGGAACAGGCACGGAGGTCGCGAAATAGTGACCTAATACGTACCACCTGATCTACCTTACATATGCTAGATCCGACCCACCAAGATCCTTTTGAGTTTGAGCACCAACTTGTTGTTGGATGGTTAGAGCGACTGTGGTATCCCCAGTCCACCAGGGTTCAAGTCCAGGTGCTCGCATTTATTTCAGGATTTTCGGTGATGCACATTCAGTGGAAGGAGACGTTTCTGTCGCTGAGGAGGTGCCTATGATGACTTCGTAAATTTCAAAATGATATGTCGGCTCAGTCTTTCGAATGTGC